AACCTTCCCACCAATCAACACAAACCAGTTATTAATTGAAAATAGGTAGTTACTTAAAAATCTGGTTTCCCTGTACATTTCTTATATCGCATGCATGCGATCACATTGCCAACGTAACGTACGTTAACTATATATTTTCAAGCCACTATTGTTTCTGCTATGTCTTCTCTTAATCACTTAAAGATATGTAAACACAATACCATCATTTTCCCAGACTGTCTTTTCGTTAAGAAAAATTGTGACTGACACATATTATTAAACTGTCGTGTTCGTTCTCAGACTTGATCGAATGTTCTGTAATGATATGACGTTTACTATGCCGTCCAACTTACGAGAACTTACGTCTACTATAATGTGACGGTGACTTCGCCAGAAGAGTGAAGAAGAAGACGTTTAACGGTGCCGGCCGACAGGGCCGGCCCTGAGATTTTGGGGGCCTGTGGCGATTTCTAAGTAACAAAATTATTTGGGGGCGAGGGAAAGAAAACAATATCTCGGTCATGAAAGTGCTTTTCTCTCTCCTAAAAAGAAAAAGTGCGATAAGGAGATAAGGTCTCGACCACCTCCGCCGTCGGACGGCCTCACGCCGATCTGGCGAGAAGTCTCTCCCTCTCCCTTTCTACTGCTCGATTATGCCTCCCAAGAAGAAACATCGCAATGCTCTCCGTGGATCCTCGAAGATGGCTCGTCTACAAACTGGATCTAAGCCATCAATCTCCGTTAACTCCTTGAAGAAGAAGTCTCCAATCGCCGGTGCCGCAAGGCCCGATGCTGAAACTGTCACGGAAGTGACCGTAGAGACTTCCTCTCCGGTTATTACGGATAAAGAAAATGAAACCCAAGCGGTTTCCCTTTCACAAAGTCCCGACTTGTCTGTTCTCCCTTCGGACATTCAGACGGTTAAAGAAGATATTACTCCTGCAACTAGTGGGGAGGTATGTGTTGAAGGCTCGACACCACAACTTTCTATTTCGGCCTCCCAAGAGGCGCCCTCAGTGGTGGCTCCTGAACAACCGAAAGAGAAGAAAAGCTATGCTAGTCTCCTGAAAGTCTCAGCTGAGCTTCAAGAACTTGGTACTCAAACGGAACATGTTTCTGGGGTCCCGTTCGTTTTGATTCCGGATGAAAATATACAGGCCGCGAAGGAAGAGTTTAAGGAATTCATCTATGCTAGATTTCATGGAGATTGGCCTGCTATGGGTCGCATTATCGGTGTCGTTAATGCGCTTTGGGCAAGGAATGGTCCGAGAATATTTGTCCACAATGTCGGTGAAGGAGAATACTTGCTGAGGGTAACAAATACAAAAACAAGAGAGTACTTGTTATCTCGCACGTGCTGGAATGTCGCTGGATTTCCAATGTTTGTGGCTCCTTGGTCTCCAGATTTCACCCCAGACGAAGCTCCACTAACGCAGGCGGTGGTTCCAGTGGAGTTACGGAATGTGCCGTATTTACTCTTCAATAAAGAAAGTTTGAGTAGGTTGGCAACAGCTGTGGGGAAACCTATATCTCTGTACCCCGAAACAGAGAGGAAGGAAAACTTTAAGGTGGCAAAGTTATATGTGCGGGTGGATCTCACGAAGCCGCTTCCTAGGAGAATCATCTCTGGTTTCTCTAATGGTAAGGAGACTATGATAGAGGTGACTTACCCGTGGCTACCATTGAAGTGTGAGCTTTGTAAGAAATACGGTCACCTGCAAGAAATATGCAAAACACATCGCCAACAGGAAGAATCTAAAAGACAGAGATCTGTCAGCCCTACTAGCGACAAAAGAACCCGTAATAACGCCAGAGAGGGTCAGTTTAAAGTACCATCCAATACGTCCTTCACATCAGGAACAGGGAAGGTTTCAGTGGTTGTAGGGATTGAGGAAGGTGAATTGCTGGAGCATAAGCAAGATGCAGAGATGCATAATTCCAAACAAGTTGAATCTTCAGCGGACATAGATGCGGGTCTTGCGCCTCCCAGGGGTAAGGTTAATGATACTGAAGTGGAGTTGGTTGGAAAGCAAGGTTCTGTATCTGCAGAGGATGTGCTATCGATTAAGGCGGGCACTTCTGAGGAACACCAATCGCCTCATAATATTACTGACAGACGGTCAAGAAGCTTAGGACGGTCGTCGGAAGGTCTAGATAATCCATTCCTCCTGGTTAATCCCGGGAAGAGCGGCCGCAAGGCCAAAACAACCCCTCAATAAATATTATGTCGATGTTTTTTGCGTGGAATGTCAGAGGACTGAACAGTGATAGACGCCACACTTTTGTTAGAGATTGGATAACTACTAATAGACCTCTTTTTGGTGCCTTCCTTGAAACGCATATTCAGAGAAGTAATGCGGCAAGGATCCACAATGCTATTCCCAGAGGTTGGAAATTTTTTGGTAATTACGAGCATCATAATGCTGGACGGATTATTGTTGTTTGGGACCCTTCGGTCTCGGTGTTTATTTACAAGGCTACAGAGCAAGCAGTTACTTGTGGGATCTATATTATGGCAGAAAACGTGAATCTCACCATCACTTTTGTTTATGGTTTCAACGTGGTTGGTGACAGGCAGGCTCTCTGGAATGATTTGGCTCATATTCATAGCACCCCCGCTATGTTGCAATCTCCATGGGCAGTAGTAGGAGACTTTAATCAAATCCTGAGGTTAGATCATCACTCAGGGTACCCGCAGAGAGTTGTTGATGATACAGGAATGGAAGAATTGAATCTAGCTCTGCAGGAAGTTGAATTATTTGAAGCTCCAGCAAAAGGAGTTCCTTTCACCTGGATGAACAATAGTGATGATGATCCGATATCCAAGAGGATAGATCATGCTTTGATTAACCAGGCTTGGGCCTCTAGATTTCCAGAGGCGTACGCCGACTTTGTGGAGCCTGGACAGTCAGACCACGCAGCATGTATCTTTAAAATTCCCTTCCTCAGGAGATACTCTCGTAAACCCTTCAAATTCTATCACCACATCATTGATCATCCTGCTTACCCCACTGTCGTTGCTGAAGCATGGAGTCCAGGGTCGATCATGGGTACTAACCAATTCAAGTTGGTTCGTGCAATGAAGTTGATGAAGAAAGAGTTGAGGAAGCTAAATTCGACACACTTTAGTGGTATTTCCATGAGGGTTAAGGATCAAACTAATAAAGTGGAGGTCTTACAAAGAGCGCTGCTTACTCAGCCTAATTCTGCTACGGCGGTAGAGGAGCATATGGAAAGGGACAAACTTAACATCTTGCTGACTGCAGAGCAAAAATTCTATAGGCAGAGATCGAGAGTGAGGTGGGCGGATGTGGGAGATAGGAACACCCCCTTCTTCCATAAGACTGTTACCCAAAGAAATACGCGCAACCACATTCACTACCTCAGGGATGAGAATGATACTTTCTTGGGCACAACAACAGAAATCAAGTCTCATGCGGCCGCTTATTTCGAGAGTATCTTGGGGGAAACTGATATGATTGAATCCCCTTCCACCGTAGACTCTCTCAAGGAACTGGTGCCTTTCAGTTGCTCAGACTTACAACATGCTTACCTTAGTCGCCAGGTATTAGCCACTGAAATTATGGGAACAATTGATACTCTGCCTCTGAATAAGAGTCCTGGACCTGATGGGTATTGTGTTGAGTTCTTGCGGGCGTCTTGGACCACCGTCGGGGCTGATGTAATCTCAGCTATTGAAGAATTTTTTCGTAATGGGAGATTGCTGAAGGACCTCAATACCACCACTATTGTATTAATTCCTAAAACAGATGCTGCCGCCAAGCTTGGTGAGTATAGACCGATCAGCTGCTGTAACCTTGTGTATAAAATCATCACAAAAATCATAGCCAACCGGTTGAAGCCAATCCTTCAGAAGAGTATTTCAAAGAATCAGGCTGCATTTTTAAAAGGAAGAAGTCTGGGGGAGAATGTGCTACTTGCCTCAGAGTTGATCAGGAATTATAAATCTTCATCATGCCCTCGAAGCTGTATGCTAAAGGTTGATATTAGGAAAGCATTTGATACTTTATCCTGGGATTTTGTGATCAAGATGCTGCAAGCTCAGGACTTCCCACCTCTTTTTGTTACCTGGATAAGGGAGTGCATCACGTCACCCCGATTCTCGGTTGCCATTAATGGTGAGCTAGCGGGTTTCTTTCCAGGCAAGAAGGGCTTAAGACAAGGGGATTCTATATCGCCGTATCTGTTTATTTTGGCCATGGAAGCTTTATCTCGGATGCTGGAAAAAGCGGTTAATTCAGGTGATATTCGTTTACATCCTATGTGCCACGAACCACAGATAACACACCTCCTTTTTGCAGACGATCTACTTATCTTCTCGGATGGATCCCGTCACTCTTTAACGGGCATTAAGAAGGTCCTCTCAGCTTTCAAGGAGATGACAGGCTTGGATATGAATGCAGCAAAGTCTGAAATATTTTTTGGGGGATATTCACATATTGAATGCTCTGTTCTGAGTGATATAACTGGAGTCAAGCTGGGGACTTTCCCAACCAGGTACTTAGGACTACCTCTCAATCCGAGCAGAATAAGTCTTGCTACCCTGCAACCTTTTCTGGAAAGAATTACTTCTAAATTGCATTCTTGGACCGTAAGGAGTTTATCTTTTGCTGGCAGAATAAGAATGGTTGCCTCAGTGATTTATGGGATGGTTAACTTCTGGAGTTCTGTGTTTGCATTGCCTAAAAGCTTTTATGAGAAGGTAGACTCTTTGTGTTGTGCTTTTCTCTGGAAAAACAGGTCATCACCGTCCTCTGGAGCAAGAGTAAGCTGGACAGATATCTGCAGACCTAAGAAGGAGGGGGGATTAGGTCTGCGAAAGCTTGAGGAGTTTGAAAGGGTCTTTACGCTAAAAAGGGTGTGGAGCTTATTCTCTGACCCGGAAACTCTTTGGGCTACTTGGCTGCACTCCAATGTATTTAGTAGACGCTTCTACTGGTCGATTATGGACTCCCAAAGACTGTCGCCATCTGTGAGAAGTATGATCAGAATCAAAGATATTGTTGCAGACTTTCTAAGGTGCAGCATAGGGGATGGTAGATCAGCCAGCTTTTGGTATGATTATTGGACTGATCTGGGACCACTAATTGAAGCTTTTGGCCACAGAGGACCGAGGGAACTCTTGATCAGTAGTGAAGAGGCGGTAGTCAAAGCTACTGTGAATGGTGAATGGACCCTTCCCCCGGCTAGATCAGACGAAGCTGAGACGTTGCAGATTGTTTTATCGACTATGACTCCTCCTGGTCCAACGAGAGGCTGTGACAGATTTCTATGGCGTAATGGTGAAGGTCACTTTGTCCCTAAGTTCTCCACAAAGACAACGTGGCATTCCATCCGGGAGATAGCTCCTACTGTCCATTGGCACTCTATCGTGTGGTTTAAGGAGGAGATTCCAAGATGCTCTTTCACTACATGGATGGCAATGTTATCGCGATTACCAACAAAGGACAGGCTAGCTTCTTGGGGTATTGTTGTTCCTTTGCATTGTGTTCTATGCTCTACCGGGCATGAGTCTCACTCCCATTTATTCTTCCAATGTCCATTTGCGTCTGCGGTATGGTCTCACTTCTGCGGAGCAGCTATTCTCCATCCTCCTTCATCGCTCCAAGCGATTGCCGGTATCCTCTCAAGTAGTCACGTTGTCTCCTCTTCAGGGCTACCTGCTGTGATTAAGCTCTTGCTGCAGTGCATTATATACTGCGTTTGGCGAGAAAGGAACATGAGAATCTTCCGGCAAACGTCATCAACTGAAGCTGAGGTATTCGCTCGTGTTGATCGCCTTATGCGCGATCGACTTATCTCCATCCCTCCATCATCCGACAACTCGCCATCTCCTCTACTAGTCTACTTCCGCCTTCCACCGCCTGTTCCGTGAAGTTTCTAGCCCTTGTGCGTAACTGCTTGCTGTGTTTTTATTTTCGCCTTGTGTAATAAGTGGATTCCCACAACGTTGTAAAAGAAAAACCTTGGTATGAATTTAACATTTACACCAAAAAAAAATTTTTGGGGGCCTAAAAATTTTTTAGGGGCCTATGCTCATGTAATTTTCTACAAAATTTTTGGGGGCCTGAAACAAATGTTTCACTAGGCATTGTCCAGGGCCGGCCCTGCCGGCCGACGACCACATGAATTTTTTTTTAAAGTGGCCGGCCGATGACCACATGTATTTTTTTTTGAAGTTTCTACTTTAGATCAATATATAAGATCATGAAAAGGTACAATGTTGCTACTCTAGAAAGAATGTGTCGTTTGAGAAGGAGACTTTTGAAAGAGGAGTTGTGATTTAAACCAAGAAAGTTTAAAACCGNAATACTATTGGTGCAGTCATTACCTAAGGTTTGCACCCATGGGTTGGTCGTATACCAAGTTTTTTTCTTGAAACATTATAGTGAAAAAAACTTTACAAATCAGTTTATGGTTATATAAAAAAGACCAAGAAAAGAAGAGCTCACCCGTGTAGGGTCTGTTTCCATGAGAATTTTCTCCTTTTCAAGAACCTCTCTAATGATGTCTTTTATCAAAAAAAAAAAAAAAACCTCTAATGCGACGTAGTTTTAGTCTGTATAACATTGATTCTGTACAAACTCTTCTCTAAAAACTGACACACTCAATCTCCAGCTACATTTTTTTCTGCCGAAAGTAATTGTAGAAATAATCTGAAGAAGAAGAAAGGAAATAATTCTGCATACCAAATTAATTAACAAATAGTTATGGAAATCTAAATTTTGTAACTTTTCAAATGAACAGACGTGACTATTTGCAGTGTGTCTTTTGGTTCTTTCATGTGTATATATATGCCACACGGAAATTAAAAAATAAAAAAAAATGAAAACATTTAGTGACTGTTGATTTGTGTCTTAGAATTTTCTCGTGATTCTTACATTCATTTATAAATCAAATCTAATCATATTCATCCTTAACCCATGCAAAGGGCTCATGATTCTTACATTTATTTTTTAAAAATCAGATTCTAGCCATACATCATTGACCTATAAAACGGTATGTGTGCGGTTTGCGTATTTTGCCAAAAAATCTTTTAATTATAAGCNTTACATTCATTTATAAATCAAATCTAATCATATTCATCCTTAACCCATGCAAAGGGCTCATGATTCTTACATTTATTTTTTAAAAATC